ATCGAGCAGCTATTTTTCTCCATCTTGTTTTTGTCCAGGTATACGGCTACCTTTGCATCCCGGTCCGGGTAGTCGGCAGCGTCGACATACGCCACCTCTCCCTTTTTGGCTATCCTTTCGTAGTACCTGGCTCTGGCTAGTCTTCGTTGTTCATGCGTATCCGGTCTCATGTGTTTTGGTATGGGTCGTACGATGTACGTATTTTTCGCCATATCGCTTAGGTCGGCCGTTCTGGTCGCCTTTGTCCTCACGTCGTTGAAGCCGAGTTTGGTCGCCAGGCGTCTTCCGGTCTCGCTGCGTCCGAGTCTCTCTTTCTGCGCCGTCAGCATGGCATCCTTGTGCTCTCCGTACGTGTTAGAGATGCCCATGGCCATGAGTTTTTCGGTTGATGTGGTAATGGGTAGTCCTAGCGCTAGCTTGTACACTCCCCTCATTTTGCAGTCGATCTTTCTCTCTTCTGTTTTGGTGATCCGGTGGTACGGCATGCAGTAAGTGATCCTACTTACGACGACGGCTTGAACAATCTTCGCCACGTCTCGTTCTTTTAGACCCCACTTCCTGTGGGTGACTCTCTTAATCATCCTTCCCATGATGTCTATGGTTTTGGAGATCTTTTCCCATTGTAGCGTGGCTTTCCCATTATGTTGTAACCACATACCCAGCAGCCTTAGTTCTTTCACTTCGGGCACTGTGTGGCCTTCTATCGTGACGTTGATGGGTATGCTTCTGTCGTACCTTCGTCCATGAATCCTCAGAATCTCTGATTTTTCGGGCGAGCAGTGGAGTCCGCTTGCTTTTGCCACCTCTTGTATGACTTCTGCCGCCTTTTGCAGCCTTTCCTCCTTTTCTCCTAGCGACCCTTTTGTGATCCATATCGTAATGTCATCTGCGTATACCGCGTACTCTATGTTCGGGATCTTTGCCAGTCTCTCGGATAGCTTGAAGAGCGCTATATTAAAAAGTAGGGGTGACAGCACCGCTCCTTGCGGCGTCCCCTTGTTGGGCATGTCGAACGTCTTAGTCTTTGTGTCATCAATCTGGATGGTGGCGCTGCGGTTTTCCAGGAAGGAGCGTACGTAGTTGTAGGTCTTTTCGCCTCCGTTGGTGGCGTTCAAGTTGTCTAGTATGGCGGAGTGGGCAACGTTGTCGAAGGCCGCCTTTAGGTCTATGGCTAGCACGATGTGCTCCCCTTTGGCGGGGATTTTGCCGCTCAGCACTTCTTCCCTGATCTGAAGTAGCACGTCTTGAGTGCTCAGGTGTGGCCTAAAACCGTACATGCAGTGCGGCATGAGCCCCTCTTCCTCCAGGTAGCGCTGTAGCCTGTTTTTCACCATGCGTTCCATGAGTTTGCCTACGTTCGACGTTAGCGAGATAGGTCTCATGTTGTCTATATGCGGTTTTTTTCCTTGCTTGGGAATGAGCTTGATTTGCGAGTGCTTCCACTCTTCCGGGACTTTTCCGCTGTTCCATACCTCGTTAATAAAGTTTGTGAGTTGCTTCTGAGTCTTCTGCGGTAGATTCCGTAGCGTGGCGTTGGTGATGCCGTCCCTCCCCGGTGTGCTGTTGGTCGTTTCGGCGGCGGCTGCCACCAGCTCCCCAACGTCAAAGTCTCTGTCAAGACTCTCGTTGGTTCGTCCCGTATACTCGTTTCCGGTTTCGGGTGTCCCTTGATCCGGGACGTACCTGTTCTTGATGTATTCTAGCACGTCTCCTTGGAATTTGTGTACAATCCTCGTGAGAGTTCGGTTGGTTTCGCCTCTTGTCGATGCCGGGTCCGCCAGGTATTTGAGCAGGTTCCAGGTCTGTTTTGTTTCCAAAGTGTTCTGCAGTTTGTCGCATTTTTGCCACCAGTTTTGTCGCGCCAAGTCATCGGCGTACTTTTCTATTTCCTCGTTGAGTTCCGCCACTCGACGTCTCAAATTCCGGTTCAGTTTGTTGATTTTCCACTTTACAGTCAAATTGCGCCTTTTCTTCCACAGCGTTTCGAGTCGCGAGTCAACTGCAGTGACTTTTTCGGTCAGCTCTACCTCGTTGGTGTAGTCTTCTTTGGCTCTTTTTAGTTCCCTTGTCCACCGCGCAAGGTCGTCTATGGGTCTTGTTTCCACTTCCTGTCTGAACTTTCTCCAGTCTGTTCTCTGATTCTTTCCTATGCGTCGACGCTTGGCGTCTGCCACTACTTCGATCCTAATGATGCAGTGGTCGCTTCCGAGGGTTTCTTGCGTGTTTATCCATCCCGCCGTGGCTCCCCTGATCATCGAGAGGTCCGGGTTTGTGTCTCGACTCACGCTGTTTCCCACTCTAGTGTGGCAGTCTGTGTCGTTGATGATCGTTAGTTCGTGCATCTCGATTAGCTTGAGTAACTCTTTGCCCCTCTTCGTGTCCTTTACGTAGCCCCATTCCGTATGCGCCGAGTTGAAATCTCCCGCGACGACTATCGCGTTGTCCTTGCCGGCCATCTTGCATGCCGTTTCCATGATTTCCGCGAGGTCCTCGGTCTTGTAGCCCTTGTGTTGCGCGTACACGTTTAGCACGAATGTGCTCTTGCCTCCCTTGTTGCTAGGCACCACTTCCGTCAGAACGTTCTCTACTTCTTGCTTTGTTTCGTGATGTATGACCGTGATGTTCTTATTGACGAGCGTGGCGACCCTGGGCTTGTTCTTATCGTTGCCGTAAACGTAGTACCCACTCAGATTCGCTTCTGAATTCGGTTCTTGCAGCAAGATTAGGTGCGGTTTTTCCACTTCGTCCTGTAGATAAAATGTAAAATTGCTTCGTTTTCCTCGGTAGGCTCTGCAATTCCACTGCCATATCAGAAGCCTACCTTCCATACGGTTGCTTTGCCTCTGCTTTGGCTCCTTCGTTGCTCACGCAGCTGACATCGCTTTCGTAGCCGTCCTTTGCACATTTCCTCCTAGGCGGGCCCGCCGCCCCGTCCAGTAAACTTGCGAGCATCTGTTCAATTTTAGCGAATCTTTGCTCGAATTTGTTTTCCAGTTGCTCGAATTTGCTTTCTAGTAGCTCAAACTTGTTCTCGAATTTGTTGTCTAGTTGCTCCTTTCTTTCCTCGAGCGGACCCTTTCTTTCCTTGGGCGTCTTTTTCGGTGCCTCTGCCGGCTTCGGCTGAGTTTTCGGCTCGTCCGTTTTGTTTTCACACCGTCTTCGGAGAGTCTCCAGTTCTTTCTTGTGCTTCTCTTCTTGTCTCCAAGAGTTTCCTTCCAGTCTTTTAATGGTTTCCGCCATCTTGGCGTTTTGCTCCTCCATTTTATGGAATTGTTCCCTTTGTATCTCCATTGTTCTCTGAAATTGTTCCCTTTGTATCTCTGCCACCTTCTTTAGCTCTCTAATTGTCTCCTCCATCTCGGAAATTTTCTGCTTGTCCGATTTCTCTCCCTCTATTGTGGGGTAGTTGGCTTGCCCAGTAACCCACCTCAGCGTAGGGAAGTCTTCTATGTTGCTCTGCGCCTCCGCCCACGCCTTCTTTTTGCTGACGTCGGTCAGTGTATCAGTAGTTTTGGGCTGCACCTTTTTCGTCGGTTCTTTGTATCGCTTTTTGCACTCCTTGTCCCCGGTGGGGTGTTCCCCTTCGCAGAATGCGCATCTTGCCCTGCAATTCTCTTCGCCTTCCGCGTGCGTTCGGCCGCAATTTCGGCACCCCTTTGCGTCTGGCGTGGGGCATACGTCACTCCTGTGTCCCGGCTTCATGCAGACGAAACATACTTGCTTCACCGGCCTGTATTCCCACACGTGTGCCATTTGCCCGTATAAGCACACTTGGTTTGGCAAGTGTGCTTATGTTGCGCAACTATGTTGCGCTTTTTGCACTCCCAGGAGACTAGGGAGAGGGAAGTGACGTCAACTACGCAACAAACGCAGATTGGGTGTTGATTTCGTTTTCTTCTGTCAACATCCAATCTGCATTTGCTGTGTCGTTGACGTCACTTCCCTCTTCCAAGTCTCCTGGGAGTGCAAAAAGCGCAACATAGCACCCCTGTTCACAAACGACAAAGAAATTAGGACGCGTATGTAACTTACAGCTCGTGTAGCTTTCCGCACATCTTCGTGGACACACAGCAGCGGCATAGCAGACAGAGCGCGATATCAGACTCCGCTTTCTGAATATTTGCTTGCCAGTTCAAACGGCCACATTTTCTTTCAGGAGTCCTGTCAATCTAAACGAAGGACAAACTGAACCAACTGAACTGACTGAACTTCGAATTCGCGCAAAAGCCACATTTTGCAACTTTCGAAACAAACAGCACAGTGTGGCTAGTGTTCCCGTCCTCCCAGTTGAGTACCATATTCCGCTAAATTTGAAGGGCCATTTTATGTTTATTTATTCTTATTTGGTTTCCAACAAGATAATTTTTTCTAAGGTAGTTTCAATTCAGTATTAGAAACGAACTTAATCGAGTTAATTCGATCACACAATGTATTTCAGGTAAGAGTTGATCAGCAAGTTTCGGTTTCAGTTTGCTGCGTTAACTTTACATCACGTCGTCACCAAATACTCTATTTTACTTTTCAAATAAGCAACTTTTCATTATTTTATAATACTACAGGCGGTGCCGCTCTCCTGTGAAGTGTAGAACAAGAGAGCGAGACTCTAGGACCGTGTGCCAACCGGCTGCCGCCGTCTCGTTGCCGCCGCTCGAAAAGGTAACGGCGCGCACGTATGCCAACAATGTCGACAGCAAGCTAAAGTTATTTGTTTCCATTATTTTAATAATAAAAGTTAGTAAGGGTTATATAAAACAGCTCGAAGTCACCGACAGGCTGATAAATACAAAGACTGCCGAAGAATGCAGGGGGGACTGGCCAGCACTGCAGAGCTCGAGGTGCTGCCCGCTGGGCCAGAACAAAGAGCTCCGTTAATGCTTAGATCAGCCTTATTTTAAAGGAATTACTTCGAAGCGTTAAACATATAATTTATTTCCTCTTGAAAGTGTGTGCTTACTTGCAAATAAATTTTGTTTATAGCCAGAAAGCCAGCCACAAAAGTCAACACTATCCAATCCATAGCGCGGCGTGTGTTTTTGTGAGACGCCGAACGGACGATGTGGTGGTAATCTCCGACCTCTGGTCTCTTCCCCAATTCTAAAAAAAAACAAAAATGGCCTATTTCGCGTCCCAAGAGAAGCGGAAAGCCGAGGAGTCCGCCCTGGTTCACGTGAAGAAGCCTCGCAATGAGCTGCTCGGCTACTCCGACGCGGGAAAGCGGCTCCAGTTGGCCGTAAGTACGCCGAGCAAACGCCGGCGCTAGCACCCCGTTCGATAGCCGGCATTTCGTTCCCACCGATTACATACCTTTGGTTCCATCCCAACATCAGTAACATAAGCAGGCTTAGAGGTTGCAAGGGCGGGCTCGTAGCCTCCAAGGTGCCTGCTGTCAACGGTGCTTCAGTACTGGCCCCTTCTCAATGATGCAAGCTCGTAGCGTACAACTGAGCGTAGAATTCAGCCTAAAGTAACAATACAAATGCATAAACTGTAACTTAGTTTCGCTTTTGGAGTATCTTGCGACTCTGTTTAGTTCGTACGTACAGGTTGCCGCTCGTCTCACAGCATTTTTGCCGTTTTCTTGCTGCTGTCGCTCGTCACCTACCGAGCCTCCACCTGTATCTCTCCTCCGAACAGCGTGGGCCTTCGCGGTCTCGGTTTGTGTGCCGCCTCCGCGTCCGACGCGTCCTACGCGAGATGCTTGAACGGGCCCGGTGCTGCCGTTAGGCTTAAAGGACTTACGACCCCGCGATGGAGACACTCTGCTGCCTGCTTGTTGTTCTGCCTCAGTACCGAGTGGCTGGTCGACGCGACGGTTCTTCTCTCCGGCGACGTCGCTTCAAACCCAGGACCTCAGCACCCCACCTGCACCCGTTGTACCAAACGTGTTCTGGATTGCCAGGCCGCGCTGTGCTGTGATGCATGTGACCGCTGGTCCCACCGTGCATGCGTGTATGTCTCTCTGCCGGAGTACAGGAAGTTGAGCTCCAGCAACGATTTGTGGTATTGCCTGGGTTGCTCCCTGCCCCCTTTCGCGGACGACTTGTTTGACCTTCCCGTGGCCTCCGCGATACAGCCTCCTACGGTACCTACGCCTGTTGCAACCGGGAGATCGTCCGGCGGAGGGAGGAAAGTGACAACGTTCTGGTACGGCAACTGCCGAAGCATTCGAAACAAGGTGGTAGACCTCCAGGCACACGTGTCTTCGTTGCCCCCAGGTTCTGTTGTGTTGCTCACGGAGACTTGGCTCGACGTAGGTGTAGCAGACAGCGAACTTTTCGACACGAATGCTTATACCGTGTTCCGGAAAGACAGGTGTGGCAGGGGGGGAGGTGTCCTATTGGCTTTCCCGGCGTCGGCACGCGTTTTTCGTCGCACGGACCTTGAACACCACGATCTCGAAGCACTCTTCGTGGAGCTCTGCCTGCCTCACAGTACAGTCCTAGTGGGCTGTGTCTACTGCCCGCCGTCGATACGGGAGGAGTCATACAGGCTCCTGGAGGTATCGTTACGGGCCGCTTCTCTCAGGAACTATGAGAACATACTGGTATTCGGCGACTTCAACTCGCACATTGACTGGTTCACACACGAGGAGCCTGTTCCCCGCGATCGTTCGGATGACTTCTTACTCGACTTTGCGTCATCAGCTGGCCTCACGCAGGCGTGCACTGGATCGACGTACTCAACTCGCGACGGAACTTCCAGCTTTCTAGACCTTCTCTTCGTGGTAGACCCGACCCGAATAGTTTCCTGTGAGACTTCTGAGGGACTGCCCGGTAGCGATCACCTGGCGATCGAGGTGACGTACGCCGCTGTGCTGCCACGTAGGGGGCACCATGCACGCACACTATGGAAGTTCGACCAGACCGACCACGGCCACCTGGCACGCCTGGCACACCTCGCACCTTGGTGCATGACGACGACTGGCAATGACCCCCTTGGTAATTTCGATCTGTGGTGCGACCTGGCGGGAGCAATTCAGAAGGAGTGCGTGCCCTTCCGCACCCGCTCCTCGGGACGAAATTATTGCCCATGGATCACCCCCGACATAATGAAGGCAGCGAGAATAAAGAGGGGACTCTTCAGGAAGGCCTCCCGCTCCAACTGTCCCGTGGCTTTACGCGCTGCAAAAGACCACCAGCGGGCTCTAAAGGCTGCCATACATGTCGCACACCAGCGCTACACCTCCACGATAGCACAAAAAGCAAAGGACGACCCTAAGGTCTTCTGGTCGTACGTAAGTCGCCTCAGAAGGCCTTGCCAACGTCCCAGCTTCAGCGCCAACGGAAGAACGATCGATGCCCCCGGTGAGATTGCTGCACTTTTCGCAGACCACTTCTCGTCTGTCTACAACACCGACGGACAGCGGCTGTCTGCGCATTCCGCTGCTTTCGCACCATCATCATCTGGCACCGACGCATCGAGCCTGGAGGAGATCACTTTCTCAACCGAAGCACTGAGCATTGCGGTGTCCAAGATCAAGCATTCGCAATGTCCTGGCCCAGACGGTGTGGCACCTGCCTTTTTCAAGATGATCACGCAGCACACTTTGCCCTCGCTCGCCCGTGTGCTTCAGAGACTTTTCGACGTGGGAGCTGTTCCTGCTTCCTGGCAACACGCCTTGGTTACCCCTATCCACAAGGGAAAAGGAAAGCCTACAGACGACGTCACGCATTATCGACCGGTTTCAATAACATCGATCATCTGCCGCACATTCGAACGCGTGGTGAACGGCCAACTTCTCGACTTCCTCGAGGGCACTGGCTACCTATCGCAGTCACAGCACGGTTTCAGACACAACCGTAGCTGTGAGACGGCCCTGGCGACCCTGAGCCATTTCGTAAGCAACTGCATTGACAATCGCACAGAGACAGATCTCGTTCAGCTTGACCTCAGCAACGCGTTCGACACCCTCGACATCGGTCTCCTGCTGCGCAAGGTGTCGGGCGCCGGCATCCAAGGTTTCCTGTTGAAGTGGCTGTCGAACTTTCTGAGCGGAAGAAGCCAACAAGTCGTTTACCGAGGTGCGCGCTCGGCTGCGATGAACGTTCCCTCCGGTGTGCCACAAGGGTCGGTCCTGGGTCCTACATTATTTTTAATCTACGTCAATGACATGCCCCGGGACGACAGGTTCCCCCTCGTCCAGTACGCGGACGACACGTCGATATTGGCCCCACTTACTTCCCCCGACACCTGCCTCCTCCTCCAAGACTACATCAACAACATAAAGGGCTGGGCGACTGACAATTGCCTGCGGCTTAGCCCCGCGAAAAGTGCCGTGATGCGCTTTAGCAGCGGCCGTAAGGTGGAAAAACCCTGTTACCATCTGCTCGGTGTGCCACTAGCCACATGCGACTCTCTCACCATCTTAGGGGTCACATTTACGAGGACACTGGATTTTTCTGTCCACATAGCCAGTGTCGTGGCCAAGGCTCGACGATCCATGGGGTTTGTGTCTCGGGTGTCCAGGCCATGTGGACCCTCGGCCTTCCGCACCTTGTATACATCGATCGTGCTGCCGTCATTGGAGTATTGTAGCTCAGTGTGGTCCCCGTCTCAGCGGCATCTCGTGGACCGCATTGAGAGCGTGCAGAGACGCGGTTCCCGGATTCTTTGCGCACGCGCTTTGGGCTCCACGGACGCAGATTATTCAACCAGGCTTAAACTTGCGGGGTGGCGGCCACTTGAGCAACGTCGGCGAATGGCTCGCGTGCGCCTTGTTTGCCGCACGCTGGACGGCTCACTGACCGGGTCGTACCTATCAACGGCAGTGCGTGTGAATAGACGTACTGGCCAGCCTGAGCCACTGCATGCCAGGACTGTAAGACATGGCCTGTCCGCGATCCCTGCAGGCGTAGGTGAGCTTCTCTCTGTCCCGCTGAGGGAGCGCAAGCCTCTTCCGCGGGGCAGGGAGGAGTCCCATGAGCTATGCAAACGATACGGCCAGCATCTGTTCACAAGTTGATGGCCCGTAAGAGGTTCGCCCAAGGGTCTTTGCGCGTGCTCCGTGTCACCCTGGGGCGGGGCGTGGCGGGGGCCGCGGTTGCGGGCTCGGCTGCGCGGGGTGCACCGCACACAGCGGTGCGCTCGCGTGTTTGTGCTTGTGGCTGGGACCTCCGCCGTGGTCTGCATGGGGGTGGGGTGGGGCACAGCGAGGTTTCATATCTTCCCCTCTGGGTTATGATTATTCGTTGTTTTTATACATGTATATATGTTATCTTGTACTTACGACTACTGTTTATGTTTATACCTACTCAGCGGCGGGCTAGCAGGCGCACATGCGTAAGGGTACAAACCTTTCTGTCTAGCCTTGCACGCCGCTGAGTGGGCAAACTTTCTCGTGCAAATAAAAATTATTATTATTATTATTATCTTGACGGATGCACAAATTCACACGAATTTATTTAGTATCTCAAGTCTCCACATCGGTGCTACGTATTCTCATGTTGGAGACCGAACCGTAGATCGGCAACTGCAGCGTTATTTGATGTTGCGGCACATCCTAAAAGTAATTGTGAACTAACCTAGATGCTTTCTATATGTAACTCCAACTGCATTTAGAATTTTTTGTAAGGGTGCAACTTCATTGCAATTTAACTCAAACAAAAGAAACTGTAACTCGATTGCTTTCAAAGAGTGACTTGGTCAGCTCAGACCTACAGCGTGCACTTTCGTCCCTTCGCGGAGATCTGCAAAATCAACATGCAAACAGCGACTGTCATCGGACGGGCTGAGTGAATTGCTGACCTTCCAGACGGATTCGTTTGTCTCTGTATTAAAATTTAAGATTTGAAACGAAATGTTGTGCACTGTTTGTAGGGCCTTTGCAGAACGTTCAAGGGCCTACCGAATGTGTTAAGCACAAGTCATGCATATTTTGACTTGTGTTCCGCCAGCTGCTCGCTGCCAATTTGTTTTATCATAAAGCGTGAATGAGGCAAAGATATTGGAGTGATCAGCGTGCTTCCTTGCCTAGGTATGCTTATGCCCGCGCTGTCTGGGCACATGAGTTCTTCGCAAGTTTGCCAAAGGTGGCAGTGGTTGTCCAATTTAAAATAAATTTGAGTCGGGATCTCACATCCTTCAGAGGCGGCGACGGCCTTTACAAAAAGCAGTGGCTAGAACGAACAAAGACACGAATAAAAGGAGAAAAAAAATTGTTCCAAGCAAACTGTATTGGACCTAAATATTCGGTTGAGATCAAAAGACTCTCGGTCAAGCATGCTCACTGTTGGGGTGTTGAGAGGAGCTACAAGTGTTATCCTTTGGTTTTCAGATATAAGATTTTACAAAAAAAAGTTTTATATTTTTATGGCTGACTGTTGGGAAGTTTAACACAGAAAGGTACAACGAAAGTAGGCATACTAACTTTGACTGCAATATGCCAAGTGTGTGTTATTCTTCGCTATGGGACGGTATTCGCTTGGTAAAAGCACTGTCGGACGGCACTTGAAAGCTCCGCAAGAATGCCGTCGGATGGCACTCTAAACACTGAATATAATAATGCCAATCAAACCCGCCTACAAAAAAAAAAAAAAAAAAAAAGAAATGGTGAAAGCATTTAGTGAAAATGCTCTGAACAAAATACAGCAATTCAAGTATGTTCCATGAAAGACATTTAGACCCAACAAAAAATTCAGAAATTACAATTCTGCTGTCTTTTTAGCTACTTCACCTTTCCTCAGAGTCGGAAAAGAAAACAAAGTGCATGTGAATGAATCTACCGTATTGGGATGGGGAACTAAGAACGGGAACCAGGAGCCTCGAAATGTTTTTTTCCCGATAACAAGTTGTAGAATGACACTGTGAAATAGTATGGAATACCCAATACAACATTTACCCTTTCTTTTTTTCAATACTGTAGGTGCGGTGTCACACAGCCTAAATGACGCGCATCTTTTACATTTTTTCAAGCTTGCAGAATTATGTTGGCCTATGTGAACACTTAGAGAAAACAAAAACGCTAACGCACAATCCACGAACAGCTTGTGGGTTACAGCCAGACAAGAGTTGATAGCTGTATCGGTCTTCGCTGGGGCCTACTCTATCAATAGCTTGTAGTATGGTGCTCAAGAGGAGAATTCTGGTGGGTTTGCTCGCCTCGATTCTATCGCTTTGCACGGTGCCACCGTCTGGTAAGCATTGATTCACCGCTGCATTTTGGTTCTGATCCGAGGCTCGGGAGTCGCGGTGCTTTGGCAGCTTTGAGCAGCTCTATGTCGCCGACAGGGTGAGAAAGGTGGGGATGGGCTTCGGTGGTTCGTTCCTTGGCGTGAGCTAAGGCACGGAGCACGTGCTGGAGGCATTCGAAAGACACACCGAGCCCTCACTCTGTCGGCGACTATGGCAACGATGGGAAGTTGTGTCAGGATTGATGGCCTTGCAGGAGGTGGGTCGCACGTCCAGCCTGGAGGCCCCCATCATGCTGCTCACGGGCCACCTGGGGGAGCTCTACTGCGGCAAGTTCCACCCGGACGGGACGTACTTGGCGACCTCGGGCTTCGACCGCCAGATTTGTGAGTCCCCGGGGCGTCGTGCTGACGACGTGAACGATACGCCCCTTCGGAAGGGTGTTCAGTTTAAGGTGGCTCTAAAATCGATTTTCAAATTGACTTTTTATGGCTTAAACATGGTTTTTCCATAATAAAAAGCAGAGTGGACAAAGAACGGACAAAAGAAAAATGAGTACAACGGACGAGCGCGAGCAAGTATAACGTTATGCCCTATTTCTGAGATATCTCTCGGATAAAAAGGCGTGTTGCTATATTGTGTTTTTAATAGAAAAGAGTCACATAAACAACATAAAGTCTCCTTTTTGTTTGTTTGTATTTTTAGCATAAAAGGCCACCCACATTTGTTAATTTGGGTGTTTCAGGATCCTTAAAGGCCAACCTACAAAATCATCATCTGCCTGGAAGAAAACCGGTTCCCAGCTTTCCTCTTTACACTCCCTCTTGCACTCTTCTATCCTCCTTTCCCCACAGGAGTGGGTCCGTGAGCTCTTCTCAGCAGGAAAGGGGAGGGACTTCCTGTTTTTCGAATGGAAAGAGGAATTGAGAGAGAATTTTCTCTTTTCTGGCTGCTCTTCAGCCTTTAAAGGGATGCTGAACTAAAATCTGGATTCCCCAAAACACGCGGCAAAAGCGTGCAACGGGATGCTACAAACACCAAAACATCACCCATACAGCAATATCTCGAACGGATGACCATATTTAAAAAAAAAAAGAGCCGCATTTGGCAGGAATGTTGACGTCATATTTTTCCGAAAAGGAGAGGGAACGGCCTCGCGTCTTTTTTGCCTCGCGGCCTTGAGGGAGCGAAGCGAAGAGAGGAGGAAACTAGGTATCTTGACGTCACGCGCCTCGTCGGCCTGGTTCAATCTGGACTTCTTTTTCCAAAAATATGACCGTCCATTTGAGATATTGCCTTACTAGTAGTGTTGTAGGGATTGTAGCATCCCGCCTACATCTCCAGCATCTTTTTTTTTTTTTTTTTTTTGAAATCCAAATTTTGGTTCACCATTCCTTTAAAGGGATACTACAACGAAATTTCGGCGCTCATTTTTTGGTCTATATGTGTTCAAAAAAGCAGCATCACATCGAACATACCAATATCTTGTTAAACAAGTCACGAAAAGGAATTTTAAAACGAATTAAACGATTAGCAAAGAGCACCTGGTGGATGTCGCTAACGCCTCGCTTGTAATGCCCGTCTAGGAACCTTGACAACTAGTGACGGAGGTTGTCTTGTCTCCGGCCACGACCAGAGAAGAGGGGCAGGAGGAACTCCCCTCTTCCCGAGAATCCCTTTTGTGTGTCGCAGAAGTCGCTATTGTCCCCCTAGAAGATTATAGAAGATTAACCCGTCACTCAAAATTCGTACAAAAGCAGCCGCTTCGGTGGCTGGAACGACTAGGCTATCCTCTCGACGTCAGCCTCGCCGTAGCTTTGCTCGTCTTGAGACGACCTACGTCACGATTGCGTTGGATGTCATGTGGTCTCCGCTGGGCCTTCTCCGAGCGCTTGCCAGAGTGGGCCGTTTATAATGAAAAATACAGCCACCAGGCTCAAAATACAAACGCGCGATTGTCATTTACGGACATTCTGGATCATATTCAACCTATTTTTGAACACGACGGGAATATTTCAAATTTCGTTGAAGTATCCCTTTAAGGCTCATAAATTACGACATAAAAAGACAATTCAAAGTTGGCTCTGGTGCCCCTTTAAAAAACACTGACACCTTTCATTTTTTTTTTTTTGTTATACGATTTATTATGGTGTCAGAAGACTACCCAATCAATATTTTGTTACAATGTCACATATTTTTTATAAAAACAAAAAATGCAACTGCTCGAAACCAAAACCGAAACTGGAGCGGGAAGGAAAAAGAAATATAAAAGAGGAGAGAGTTGGCGGAAGTCACGTGGCTGTGCAACTAGTTTTTTCCCCAATCACTGGATTTGCAGCTTTTTAGAAGCCACAAAGATGGATATCATTTTTTTTTTTCTATTTTTAATATTATGTGTGTGACTTCAATGACCCAGGACTTTGATTATATTTGGTGGTTGTGTCTAAACCATAGAAAATGGCACGTGACCACAGAGAAGAGAGTGAGCGCGACTCACACCAGCCAGTTCTCAATCAGCGGTTTTTGTGCAAAAAGAAAACGAATTTCGAGCCGCAAATTGTTTTCTGGGTAGTTGGGCTCTCGTATGTCATGTACAAATAAAAACCTTGGCGAGGACAAATACTCTGTCAGTTTCCCTTTAAACACCTTTATCCTTAACACTCCTGTTCTCACCTCAAAAAGTAAATAGCTTTGCCGGGAATTATCAAACACCTGTTTTTTTTCTTATGTCCTGTTTTTGTGACCTATACATTGCTAAAGCTCATTTCTTTTGCATTCTTCCCTCCCATGTTTTCCTTTCTTCTTCTTCTACCCCCTTTTCCACTGAACTGGTCTGCTAAGCCCCATCATTAGTGTTATGCACATTAGATTTCAGATTCGGTTCGTCTGTTTCGGGTTTACATTTTTCTATATAGACTAGACCGATCTCACCAGCCAGTTTGGCTATGCCACCGCTGCCACAATGCATCGAGGGAATTTTATTCTTCCTGCACGTGCAGAAAGCACGAGGCGTCCCAGGCATTCCCGCCGGCCTCCTGTGAACTAAGCATGTTATGGCGGCTTCATTCATGCACCGAACACTTGGCGAGATCGGCCTATTGCTTCTATACTTTCTGTGCCTTTCACCTGTTCTTCATTTCAGTTAGCATTTGTTAAAATTTCAATGTACTATTTGCCCCTCTGTTCTCATTGGACGACCAGCCCATGTCGCCCTGTACTGCTCACACCCTTTGTCAAATTTCTAGTCCCTATTAAACCTGTGACCTCATGCACAGTACCACATTGCCAAAAGCTAGTCCAGCCACCATAACTCTTTTGCATATCTATTATTATACCTATTACATCCGTGTTCATATCTATTACAGTTGTAGGGTGTTTTGAGTTTTATGTCATCTGAATTTATTTTCCCTTTTTTGATTATATTTTTTTTGTGTTCTAGATATTTCCTTCACTCATTGAGCCATACTTCCAGATATTTGTCTATTTCTTGTCTATTTCTACTTGATCTATTGCAGCGTCTTAAGTTTTTTGGGGGTTCCCTCTTTTCGTCGTTAAGCACCATTGCTCCAGACTCGTCACCACTAGAAGTCAGGCCCAAGATGTCTCCTTCCTCTCCAGATATCCCAGTTATTTCCCACAATCTATTTGGGATATTTGCCATGTGCACTATATAATATGAGCACCTTCAAAAGTACACCCTCTGCTGGACTTGATGTGTAATCCCTGCTCAATGACAGACACAGGCACAAGTTCCTTGCATTTGTTCAAAAAGCATTTTGGGGTGTGGGTTGGCAAACAAAATGTTGTCACATTTAATGATCACACCTTCGCACGCCTCGACAGTGGCACAGTGTTTGAGAGTCAGACTCACAGTCCCAGGGTCCTGTATTCGACTCCCCTTGGTTGGTTCCATCTTCCGAATCTATCCACTTACCACTCCTTCGCACATGCACATTCTTTTCGTAGAAAATAGGCAGAAATTTACCAGGGAGACTGTCGAAAGAAATGCTGTCGCATTTAAAAGTGGATCCAAGGTCGCACCACTCTCGTTTTTCTAGAGTTTAGTGCAGAAACTGGAGGGCACCATCACATGTGCAACAGCCGATTGTGAGGAGCCACTTTCCGCACATGAATTGCGCATGTTCGAAAATTAGTCCACCGTTGGTCTACCTTTTTTCCGCGTAGGAAGTGATAGCTCGCGACTCACTATCACACGTCTGACGACGCCCTCTGGTTTCTGGTCCGAATTTGCAAGAAAACGGGCATGTCACAAATTTGGATTTTGTTTTTAATAGGAAAATTAGACGCCTTTCAATTTATTCTTGTTTTTCTTTTTTTTTAAGAATTGTAGAGGCTGTAGGTTGAGTTTTGACCAAAAGTACATGATCTCAAAAAGCACTTTAGCACCCCTTTAAGAGAATTTAGCCATTTTATATACCAAGGCCCTATTTTTTCCCTAATTTCCCTATTTTGATGCATCCTTTGGCCTTGGTGTGATGCATCTGGTCAAGCTTGGTGGTGTGGCGTTCTTGCAGTCTTCTGGAACACCCTGGGAGAGTGCGAGAACTTTGCCGTGCTGAGCGGACACACAGGTGCCGTGCTGGACATGCACTTCTCCACGGACGGCGGGTGAGTGGGGCGAGCCCAGAGCACGCGTATTGTCTAATTCGATTGGGAAGGAGATGGACTCAAATACGGCTTCGGCATTGCCAGCTTTCAGGGCACCAAGAATGCCTGAACGACCCGCCCTTGTGCCAGGCAGGCTATGACATGGCAACTTTTTGATTGTAGCTCCCTAGAATTGAACACCAGGAGTGTGCTGCCTCCGAGCAGGATATTTATGTGAGAAAGTGCTGTGCCCAGGGTAGCACCTCGGAAGCAGTTGTACTGCCTTGGGGGCAGCACTTGCTTCTCCACATGCGCCCCAATTACGGCGTAAAATATATGTAAGTCTGGACACCGTGCACATCTCAGCTGCCAGATAAACTCCCGTTGTTGGCCCAGTTTCTTCTGTTTTTCTATGGCAGACGTGCTTTTTTTAAGGCGAAAGCCTTATATGTCCCATTACTCGAAAGGCGGCGTCGGCGCTGTGCCCGAAATATGCCCATAAAAATGTCATCAAGCACGCACCGCTCAAGGTCAAAGCAGACTCGCCTCAGAAATAAAACACAAAGAAAAGCGCAGCAATGCAGATGCTTCGTCACGGTTAACATTGGAACCAGCAAGGTAGCTACACCTGCACACGGGGGGAGCGTGATGTCACCGCCGGAGTGACGTGTGAAAACGGAAGGCATGGTACGCTGCTTGCAGGGATGTGCTGCATGTAGGAATGCTTTCGCATTCCTACACATAAGCAATCTTAAGTGTCTTCGGCGTGCCTTTGTAAATCGTTTTCTGGGTGTGTCACATTCTGTAGAAATTGACACTTGCATTATGAGTGTTGTTTAGACACTGCTTCATCATTGACCCTAGTTTCGTACCTTGACGGCAGCAATAACAGTTTTATGTATGCAACGAAGCGGAGAGGTCTTTCGCACTGTGTTCGAGTTGCCGTCTGTCAGCGTCGGAGCAGAAAGATAGCGTACCCGGGTGTCATGGGAGTAAGACACGTATACCAATGCTCGATGGCATCCCAACCCCTGGCTGCTGTATCTTCCGTGAAACATAGAAAACATGTACCACGGTGCTCGTATGGTACATGGAGCACGTCTCCGGCAGGTGTGTTTTCTGCGTCCCAAAAAGTGACCCCTCGATTTCCGCCCAACGACATCATAGAAGTCTCACCTTCCTGCTGTGGATCTGTTGGTGTCGCAGCTGCGGTGATGGATGTGGCAGACGCCTGTTCTGCTGCAATTGTCTCTCTAGCTTGACGGTCCACAGAAGCTCCGGCAGCCAGGAGTTGGGCTGCCGAAGCTTCGCGTTCGCGCTCGCTTACACTTTTTGCCGGGACCGTTAGACCGCCAAAATCGCGACATCCAACGGCACGACGTTCCGGCTTCTGAGATGCCACTTGAGGTGTGGGCGAGACGGGACACTAAATGCAGCGGTCAAAGACGCGGTCGAGGCACCATGGCGTCAGTGGGCAGATCATTCGTGTCCTTAGCTCTCTGGCGGATAAACGGCTCTCTGGTGACTGATGCAGCATGAAATGCAATGGGCTGATGAGAGGACAAAGTTTTCGACTAATGTGCGATAAAATTTGTCCGAAAAAAACGGAGCCTGGAAATTTGCGTCGTAATTGAAAGGTTTGTTTGATTGGTGCAACATTCTGGTTCAGTGGCACTGGTGCAGTACGGGTACCGAAGTAGCACAGTTCTTTGGGCCAAATGGCGAGTTTGGAACTTTGAACTTTATTACGACGAAATTTGTGTCAAGGGATATCGGACCAAAGTGCTGGCAATTTAGGGCCTTGAAAGCCCCATAAATATAATCAAACCTGATTTCATTTAGGCAGAGTCTTGGTATATTGGCCCGCCAAACAATTGCCTGGTTGTTTGGTCGTCACCTGGCTCCTTAGGGCCTGAATTGTCAAACAAGTTCCAGTATTAAGCTTCACTGGTTGTTCTTGATGTTCGGTTGATACCATGCGTCTTTGGTTCGTGTCTGGCGCTTTGGCAATTATCTGATGAACCAGAGAGAACCTAAAGAAAAGTACTGTGGTGCTAACTAACGCCTCGGAGCAAAACCTTATAAAGCCCAAGTTAGGTCCCTAAAAGGGCCAAATTGGGTCTGATTTGGGCGTTTCTCTGGCCTGCTGCTCGGAAACAATGTAGCAATACTTTGTTCCTCAATTTTTTTATGTGTGCCGCCATTTTAATGCTTGGTGCAGAGTTGGTGCAGTTGACAATCATTACAATCTGAAAATGCGACCTCCTGGGCGTTGGATACGGTGCTAGGAAGCTCAGGCTATAGCGTTTTGCTCTGACACGGACTGTTTATTATCTCTGGAGAACAGAGGGCCGTTTCCTGCCATTTCAGATTGAGTTTCAGATAACTGCCAACGATCATGTTTGAGCACCAAAAAGAATATTGGCTTACAAAAGCAAGGGAAGGAACCACACTTTTGGTTTTTCGGTTTCCAGGCTAGGTGGCACAAGGTACCACCCATTATGAAGGGTTCAGACGTGTCCGTCCAGGTGGCTGAAGTGTTGTTATTCTGAAGCCAACGCCATCAGATCAAGTAGCTCGTGGAACTCCCATGGAGGGGTTACCCTTCTTCCTTTTTCTCAAGCCCGCCACTCGTTGTTTGAAGCACCAGCTCGAGTCTATGTTTCGAAACTGAGTCCTTCGGAGACGCTAAGGTGAAGCCCCATCTAGACGTTAGGCTTCAAAACCTGCGTTGCTGTAGTTACCATGGCAGCCATCCCCTCCTAGAACGGTGGCGCGCCGAACGACGGAAGGAGGACCTTGGGTGGAGAGGGGGCGGGCACTGCTAATGCAGGCGGCATCTGGGCAGTTCAGTTACTGAGTTGATCTGCTTTTAAAGGTGAGTTTCTGATATAGGTGTGCTCCGAAACAAGATTTCGTTTGCTCCAAATTTAGAACTAGCTGGATGACCCCCGATTTATTATTATTTATTTATTGTACTTTTCCGGCGCCCCTAAACAGCCCGTAGGCCTACATAAGGGTGCACCGGTGACACTTACATGCAGTTTTGCATAAAACGCATGCGTAAAATTATGCATGCATTTTGCAAACGCATGCATAATTTGAAGAAACAAAAATGTGAAATATAAATGTAAATGAGAAAAGTGCATAAAGTTGAAAACAACACTGTTTGCTAAAAAGACTGATACAAGAGAGTGTCACATTGTAAAAGCACTAGCAGAGACCGCATACTAAAACTTTCCCCGCAAAAAGATATCTACTTCGGGCGTATTTGTGACATTTGAACTGTTAAAATTATACTGGATACGCTCAATCTGTCTTAAGCTTTTTGGCTCAGAGGAACCGAAAACACGATGGGAGCGAGGGACCTGCCAGGTACAGCAATGAATACGGATGAGGTTAGCTTGGGGCAATCTATGAAACCGTGAAGACATTTGTGTAAAAATAAAAAGTCTCGTGCCTGCCTCCTTTCGGAGAGGCAATGCAGGTTTAAAATCTTCAACAATCGCTCATGGCTGAAATAAATTCGCCTGTTAAAATAACGATCGTAAAGTAGTCGAACAAACTTCTTCTGTACATTTTCAAGTTCATTCGAGTTTGTCTGGTTTAAACGATTCCAAACAACGCTGGAGAAATCCAGTCTAGGCTGGATGAGGGATCGGTACAAATGCAAAAAGCAAGAAGATCCCCTAAAGTTTCGAGTCATTCTGGTAATCGCACCCAAACTACGGTAACATGTATTGCTCAAGTATGCCACATGATCAGAGATTTAAATTCACTGTCCAAGAAAACTCCCAGATCATGTACAACTGAAACGCGCTCAATCGAGCACTTGTTCAAAGTGTAGTCAAAGGTGTTAAAGAAATGTTTTCTCGAAAAAGATATGACTTTTGTTTTAGCCGGGTTGAGAACCAACTTGTTTTCCTTGCACCAGTCTGCCAATTCTGTAATATCTTGCTGTAGTTTATTGCACTCAGAAATGTCAACAATAGCTCGAAAAAGCTTAACGTCATCGGCAAATTGTAACATTTCCGAGTGATTTATGCATGAGCAAATATCGTTCACGAAGATGTTGAAAAGCAGAGGCGATAGGCTAGAACCCTGCGGGACTCCCGATCTGGAGAGGTACGCGGTTGATTGTGCACCACCGTATGAAACAGAATTCCATCTGTCATGCAGATAGCTCTGAATCCATTTGCAATGTGGTAAGGATATACCATAGGACGCAAGTTTCTTAACTAGCAGTGAATGACTCACTAGGTCAAATGCTTTTTTAAAATCAAAGTAAATTGCGTCGACCTGCTGCTTCGACCCTAGTTTGGCACCCACAAATTCCATAAACGCGATTAAGTTTGTTTCCACAGAATGATTTGGCATAAAACCATGTTGTTGCACGTTTATACGTCTGGAAAAAAAATGCATGATATGACAATGCATGGCCTTTTCGAACACCTTGGCAAACGAACAGATCAGTGAAATTGGACGATAATTACTGACAGTTAGTGCCGACCCATCTTTGAATATTGGCACAACTAGAGAGTACTTCCATGCAGTTGGAGAAAGCCTATCTTTCAACGACCGATTAAATATAAAAGTTAAAATCGGAGCTAACACGTCACCGCGACCTTTCACTGTTAACATTATAGATGCTTGAAGTTTACTGCTAAGTTCTTTTAAGTTCTTTTACTGCGAAGCTTAGTATATATATGTATAGTGGCCCCAGATGAACCTTGCTGCCGGGCCGAAGGCAGTGTGCTCATCCCCCTCTCCTGCCTTTTGCTGCCCCAGGCTCCGAGGGCAGCCTGCTCATCCCCCTCTCCTGCCTTTTGCTGTCTTAGGCTGCTGTTCACGGCCTCGACGGACAAGACGCTGGGCGTGTGGGACACCCGGGTGGGGGTGCGCATCAAACGACTGCGGGGCCACTCCCTCTACGTCAACTGCTGCCACCCAGCCCGCAGGGGGCCCCAGCTGCTCTGCAGCGGGGGCGACGACAGCACCCTCAAGGTCCTCTCGTCCCCTCATTCATTGCACCCTTAAAGGCCCGCTCAGGGCATTACGTAAGGGTGGCAAGGAACGGTAACAAAACATGCAAAAGTAAAAGTGGCAGAAGTTATATGTGTACCCTACTTAAGTGGACTAGTAGAAGATTATAAGACTGCAGTATTGGTGACGCTAGCGATGCAAAATGGCGTCTGGTTACATGTAGCGATGATTAGGAGAGAATGATTCGTTAAGTGCATTCGTTTTACTGGAGATTTGTGTAATCGGGTAAGGGTTATTCAGGCAGGATGATATTCTATTGGAGGTGTTGAGAGGTTCTCAAAGTTTACAGTTTTGAGGAGCGCCTGTCTCTCTCGATTGCTAGCCAAGGAACCGCTCTGGGTCTGGGCGTTGCTTCAGTAAAGCAGTGCAGGAGCCCGCAGAGTTTGTAAACAAAAATGCACCTACTGAGGAGCGTTTGGCTTGTAGCTATGCATCATTGGGGGGCTCAGGTCGAGAGCCGTTGGAACGATTCGGGGGGAGGGGGTGTCACAGTCAAAGATAACTGTGTGGACCGGCCTTGAGACTGCATTGAATGACACCGTGACACTGGTGGACATGTTGCTCGCTCGAGCTTGCGTCACTTGTGTGATCCTCACTGTTCCGGGTGAAAAGTATAGAGAGAGAGAGGGTTCAAAACGCTGCGGGAAACCTAGCTGCAGACAGAGCCTCTGTTCGTCTGCTCACATGTCGGGAGTGGGTAGGATGTGACTTGAAGCATTTCTTTGGAGGTGACCAGGGGTGCTATGTTGCGCTTTTTGGACTCCCAGGAGACTTGGAAGAGGGAAGTGACGTCAACGACTAGAGCAAACGCAGATTGGATGTTGACAGAAGAAAACGAAATCAACACCCAATCTGCGTTTGCTGTGTCGTTGACGTCACTTCCCTCTCCCTAGTCTCCTGGAAGTCCAAAAAGCGCAGCATAGCCCCCCAGGCGTCATCGTCCGATAAATATTTGATGGGATGGATTTGGAAGGATGTTGTTTCCAGTCAAGCATTGAGCTCTGTTTGAAATGTTCAAAAGTTTTACTTTAGTAATGTTATTATTAATAGTTAAACATATAAAATAGCGCAAAAGACGACAAGGACAAGAAGTATACAGGACAGGCGCTAACTTTCTACTAGTTATTATTAATAATTGTTATTATTAATAATTGTCTTCATTTGACTTCAAAATACATAGTGGACTATGACTGCCTAGTCCTGGAATGCAGTTGGTGTAGTAAGTGTGTTCTGAAGGATACCTAAGTCTCAAAAACCCAAGTTCAAGAAAAAAAAAATTTTTTTAACTTCTGGTTGGGACATGTTGCGAAATTAATGTCCCCCTCTCCTTTCACAAAAATATTTTTTGCCGCAATGTTTTTGTGTACATTTTTGAAAAAGGAGCAGTTCTGAAATTAATTTATATTTTGAGGTTGATGCCTGTAAATAGATGTTAGGTTTGCAATCATTCCTAACTTAAAATGTCTCACAACAAAAGTATTTTAATAAAAAAATGAAAGTTCATTTTTGGGCACACATGTTCAATCCAGGTACTTGAAAAAAATGTGTTTTGGGAAGGTCTGCATCTTTTTTAATAAAGTAAAGTACACCCCCACCCGAAATCTTTTTTTTTTTTAATGTTTAGTCTATGTTAAAATGTAGAGCTAGTGGTCCGGACCAAGTGCTAAAGTTTCAGAACTAACTGTTATCTTACTCAAAAGTCATAAGCAATATTCCGAAATGCTCAATGAAAAAACGGGGCCTGTTCTCGGCTATACGCACCTTCCGGTCCCATGTATCTGTGGGCTTCGGCGGCCACCGTTTTACCATCGAAAATTTTCTAAAATCACTTATAACTTTTTATTGTGCTCACGGTTAGTTTTGAAACGTTGGAATCCGGACCGAGCCGCCGGGCGCTACGCTCGGGCGTAAACTCTGCGTTAGACGTTTCACAGTTGATTTCTGCAATCTTAGAAACAATTTACTCTGCAGTCCCACTGCTCATACATCGTACAAAAGGCACAGTGTTTGCTGCAGACACGACAACAGAATTATTGAGCAAGTTCGAGGCATGTTTGCTTCATGTGTGGATCGAACACGTCTGCCGAGAGTTTTCGTAAGACTGATGCAACAGGGCCATCGTGCAAGGAAGGAGCACGCCTCAGTCAGTGACTGCAGACGGTCGTCCGTACGACGTATTGGCAGTGCGACCCCGGCGGCTCTAGGGAGCCTGTCTTGGCGTCTCTCCGAAGCTCGGAGCGTGACGGAACGTGCTCTCGGGCGGCGGGTGTTTTTGCAGCTCTGGGACACGCGCAAGCGGACGCCCGCGCACAGCTTCCAGGAGAGTTACCAGATCACGGCGGTGTCCTTCAACGACACGGCTGAGCAGGTGCTCTCGGGGGGCATCGACAACCTTATCAAGGTGGGCCTCGCCTCGCGCCTCCGTGGCGGCCTTTTGGTGGCGGTATGGTGCCCGGAGCACGTCTCCGACCGGTCCGTTTACCCCATCGGCACGCCGGCTTGGCAGTCCGGGGGGCCCAAGTTGGGCCTAACCAAAAGAAGGTCAAGTTTAGCTCTACCTGGGCTTTTTCAAGCTTTTTAAAACCCTATATTCCCAAACAAAGAAAAAAATACAAGTTTTGGCCCAAAAAATTGTGTTACCTGGAATCTCTCACATATATCGAAAGTGGTCCCAAAGTGGGACCAAATGACGTTGCCAAAGCCAGCTCGTCACGCCGTCGGACGTTGCAACCCTGGCGGTCCACCTCTGAAGTCCCGGCGAAAAGTATGAGCAAACGCAAATGTCTCCATCACCGCGTTGTCCCAACCCAGCTGCCGAAGATTTATTCGCACCTCTTTCACCAGTGCAGCAAAAGTATACGGCGGTGTACTTCTGGTCGTATCTTAATGCACACACAGGAGTACACTACCCTACACTTTTCTGCACCTGTGCAGCTAAATCGAGCAAAGCTCTTACTGCGATGTCATTGAGCGAAAATTGCGGAGCCGCTTTTCGCATGAGGCAAAACAAGCCGGTCGGAGACGTGTGGCAGGCACCGTGGCAGCGGGAAAGGGAAACAACAGCGTCGGCTTCTGCCTTGCCCAGGTCTGGGACCTGCGCAAGAATGCCGTGCTGTACCGCATGGCCGGGCACCTGGACACTGTGACGGGGATGTCGCTGAGTCCGGACGGCTCCTACCTGCTCTCCAACTCTATGGACAACACCCGTGAGTATGGGCTGGGAGGGTGGTGTGGGTCATTAGCACCAAGATGGTGGTGCCCTCTTCAAGGGGCACCAAGGTGCTTTTCGAGATCCTCGTTTTAAGGTCATGGCTTGATCTGTGAGCTCTAAGCGTCCTAGAAAAAACAAAATTACATTTGTGCGTGGCCGATTTGCGTATTAAAAAAGTGATAAAATATTTGGACAGTTACCGTCGGTGCAGAACCACAGATGGCGATACCAAATTTTGCTGAGTATGGTCAAACGCAAGGTTTGGTAGCATCATCTCTTGTTCTGCGTCGACGTTAAGTCTCCGAATGTTTGATCTCGTTTTAATATACAAATTGGCCGCGCACGAATGTAATTTTGGGTTTCTTAGGATGTTTAAGCTCATAGATTGAGGAATGATCATGAAACGAGGATCTCAAAAAGCACTTTTGTGCTCCTTTAAGGCTGGTTCACACACTTGTGACAGCTTACGACTGAGCACCTGAAAACCTCCTGTGATCTCTTGCGATGAGAGAACGCACTGATGTGGTCTGTCCTGTGGCCGTGGAGCACTCGGAATTTCCATATGTTCCCCTTTTCTTTTTCCATTGTTCTTTTACAGCGGTGCTGTTAAGGGCTAGGTTCCCCAGGATCGTGTCCGTGTATGTCGACGCAAACCTACCTGGACAGCTACCGCCACCTATAAGCGATGGCAACAAGCACACAACCAGTATGGTTTCCGCCATCGCTCGTAGATGGCGGCAACCTTTCCAGCTATAGTAGAAGAATGGATAGTTGGGCGCGTTGGTGGGAATTCATCGTAGGAAACAGCGCAAAAAACAGACGACGACGAAGAAGAAGCACACAGTGTATCGAGTACAGCTCCGCTAGTCTTCCTTCTTCACGAGAGTGGAAAGGCTGAATGTTTTCTTTATTGGCTTTAACATTTTTTGCAAGTTGTTATAAACAACCATTTTTCAAAGATAGTATGTATACTTGAAATACTGCAAAACCTTTGCCCTGGTGAAAGGCAGTTCTTGGGCCACCTCGTAGATGGTGCCAGCGTGCCTGTACATTCTCTAGTCGTAAGAGCTCGCAAGAACTCGGTCACAAGCAAACGCAAGCGCGTGAACCAGCCTTTATAGTTTCCATCTACGATGCGACGACTAGGACTTTCTTTGCCGTGTGATCACAATTTGCGATCCCGGCTGCTCATTTTCAGTTGCGAACTACAAGTTGCACGGTGTGTCTGAAAAGCACAATGGAAGCTCAAAGTCATTATATTCCTAGACCAACACCATCGACGTTGCATGGTTGCATCGATGGAAGTCTTTCTTCTGTTGATGAAAGCAAAATTACCCTAATTCAGGTAAATACCTTATAGTGCGCGTTTGGCGAATCGCGAATGCCTATCACAGCAACGCATGTGGTCGCACACATCTTTGTAGGGGGTGGTGGCTTATGCCACTGAGCCTAGAGACATTTACTCCCCTTCTCTTTATATTTTTCTCCACATTATGTCTCTCATTACTACTACACCAATTTTGTTCATTATCATACTTCCCTGGACTTTTTCTGCCAATCTTCTAACCTCCTTTTGGTGATTGCAATACCTTTTTTCTCCTTTCTGCTGTTCACTTTACATCCGACAAATGTCACCAGACGGTGACATTTACCATTAGATTTTGGAAGCATGGTGCAATTTTCTAGCTTCTCGTGTCCACGTTAATGAACCATTGCATCGGTCTGAATCCGGTAAAACCCAGAGGGGAAAATCCCTCATGACCTTGAGTAACCTTAAGCACTGCCGGGGCCACAAGAGTAGTCGGCGCTTGATTGCACGAGCCTATGTGTGTGTTTTTTAAGCTGAGTTATTTGTCATTCTATTGAGGCAGTTTAGGTGCAAATAAGCATCTCTTTTTTTTTCTGTCTGGCAACCAAATTACGTAGGAGCTAGTTTGTGCAGCGTGTGAACTATGTGCAAAACTTGCTTTTGTCTCTAAGCAAGGATTACAGTTACCGAATCTAGTAACAATGATTACGGCGATATTTGCACCCCACTGGTTTGTTTTGTCGTGCATACATGAGGGCAAGTTGTGTTCTTATGGACTATCAGCACCAAGATGTTGCAGTCATGCCTTCTTTGCAGTTTCTGTCTGTGACATGTATTCTAAATATGGGCAGTTGGACCTTTTAAGTAATGTTTTTATGGTAATTTTTTTTTTTTTTTTTTCTGGTGAAATCTGGGCAAATTTTGGCAAGAGTCTATCTAGTACAGCCGCAAACAACTCCATTCCCCCCCGGTCAAAAAAAAAAAAAAATAATAACCACAACGTGAGTCGTTTGCAATAGCGAGACAAAAATTTGAATATTTACAGAGTTCATCCCCGAACATTTTCTCCGTATAGCGGAGGGTTCATATTAACAAGAAGTGACTATATTGCGACCACTTTTTACTTTTTGTTTGTCCCGTACCAGTGCGAATCTGGGACGTGCGGCCCTTTGCACCCCAGGAGAGGTGCGTCAAGATCCTCCAAGGTCACCAGCACAACTTTGAGAAGGTGAGCATGTCTCGTCTGGCGGTGGTTGCGACACCTTTCTAATGTAGGCCGCATTTTAATAGAAGCAAGCTTGAGACTTGCATAGCCATAGCTGTACTGTCACAAGCTCTATTTCGTGGGCTAATGTCCTATTAAAAGACCCCTGAAAATAAAAAAAATTGTTTTTTTAAACAAACTGCTTCGGACACACGTGTCAAAAAATACATTTTACGGGGGAAAATAAATGTTTTTAGAGCAATATTGGCGGTGAGAGATTTATTTTAAATTGTGCGCACGAATTCCATGGCGTTGTGGAATGGTCATTCGCTCAACAAGATGACCATTCTCTCTTTCGACCTCAACGTGAAGGCGAAGTCGATCCTATTCTCCTCCACGCACCCAAAAAGCCGAGAGAGAGAAAAAGTGGAAAGGAGGTAACTACCGACGAAATCGCGTCTCACGCTGAACAATTAATTAATTGACACGCGTGTCCCCCCAGATTGTTAAAAAAGAATTGTTTTCCTAAACTTCGATAAGACGCCTTGATGGGGCATGTGGTCAGTGCCATTACGGGTCACAAGGGCCACTGTGTCAGGCCAAGGCAGGTCACATGACATCAGGGTGTCGAGTTACGGCGTAAAGCGACTTCGTGTCACGTGACGACTTCGTGCGCGAGTCACATGAGGTCCCGCTCTTCCCGACCCACTTGACTTTCTTTAGTGGAAGGGGAAGGGGATTCGATTGGTTATATTATACGCTACCTGACTCGAGAAAATTTCTAAGGGGAAAGACACATTCATATCTTGCAACGTAATTGGCTTCACACTTGGCATACTCAATCCACTTCGCAGTTGGATTGCAAAAATCTCTGGACAGAAAGAAATGCAAGTTCCCGGTGCCAAGGTTAATTGACTTTTTTCAGAAGTCCATCGAGCAACATTGGCGGTCATTGGTGCTCGGGCACGAAGCGCGTTATTGGATCTGAGCCCTCGCCTAACGCTGATGCGGCGCTCGTGTACAATACACGTTCAGAGTATGTGATGGAGCAATGGCAGACTGCCGTTGGCGCAGACTTTGGAAAAGGTTCTGTTATAAGTAGTTTTTGAAGCCTTAGTGGCAATACCTTTTTCCCCCGCAACAGTAAGGCCTCTCTGGAATTCAATCAGGCCACTTTCGATTGCCGTCATCATTCGAGTGCGTGGCATCTGCAACACGCTAAGGGTGGGTCTTCCGGTGACAGACGAAGCCAGGAGTTAAAGGCGTGCACCAAAGCGCGTAACACTAAACCTGTGTAGCGTAGACATTAGCATAACGTCTGAGACGGAATGGATACAAGCCCTGCGTCGGTTTTTATTTTGGACTCCCGTTCGATCAGTTGGTTCTCACACACTTGGCCCGTCAACCCCTTACCTCCTCGCCTACCAATGACTCGTGTTTCGGTTTCTGCACTTGTTTAGCGCACTCTCAGGCAGAGGGCAAAACCACCCCTGTTGCTCCATTTACCTTGAGTTGTTTGCACATTTGTTTTGCTGTTTGACAACAAAACCAACATTCGCTTTAGCAAGAAAAACAGAAAAGCAGTCACTCGTGAGCGTTTGCACTGAAACAACATGGCTTCGGGGCAGAGGTTCGCTTTAGCTGACGAAGAGATGCAGAATCTTCTTTTTGAAAGTGATTAATGCTCGGGCATACGCGAGGACAAATCCTTCGGCCTTTACGATTTTTCAGAATCTGACAATATTTTGATGGACAGTGACGGGAGTGATGCGAACGACGCAAATCCCGCAAGCATTCCATCAACTTGGGCATCTGCGCGTCAGTAGGGACTCGGACCCAAAGTCCTGATTTAGAGCGCAATACCACGCCTGGAAGTCGAAGAGATGGTTTGGTGTTATTTTGATGCAAATGTGTGTTTAAAATGAAGTGTTGCCATGCTTTTCTCGAAGAGAAATCTGAATAGGCAAGGGGTGAACCAGCAACCCTGGTGAAAAATCGAACCGAAGTAAATGACCGATATTGCTTTAGAGGCGCAAAATATGATCACAGCCGAAATATTTAGTCAAACCGAAACCGCACTCTTTTAAAGATGCGACCAGCTGCCCTTTAGCAGGCGGCCAGTGGGGCAGCAACACTGGGCGGTGACAAAAGCGTCGTTGCTTTGGTTCTTCTCCCACGCCTTTCCTTCATTGCGTAAAGTAGGGGATATCTCGTCCTCGCGTTTTCCAAAATATTTTTTGTTTCGTGGTTTGCATCTTAGTGCTCCTGGTTGTAAGCTATGCAGTCAAGCTCTGCTGTTCCGCTTGCTCCAGTGCAATGCTAGCATCACAAATGCCGCCCCCCCCCCCCCCCCCCCCCCCCCCCAAAGTACCGTAGCATCTCCTGAGTGGAGGATGAACGCTCTACACAACGCAACGTGCAAGGGTGTCCGTCATAGGTTCTCCACGTTTAAATGCACCTAGCAATGTAGCTAACGACCCTCCCCTTCCCCCATGCAAACTCTTCTGCATGATCCACAAGTCCGGGAGCACCCACCTGCAAATAGTGATACAGTGTGTGAAACTTGTGCAACTCATTCGGTATGATTCAAGAGTATTAACTTCCTCCTTCCGTGTACAGAGCGACCAGTGGCCGTGTGCGTTAGGACGCCACAGCTCGGAGCACGGGGAGCGTCCTGGGTTCAATCCCCACCCCTGCCCGTTTCGATCTGGAAAAGTATCGTACCGGCGTGCGCTTACATATCCTTACTGTTTGATGCACGTTAAAAAGCCCAGGCTAGCGGTTGTACTGCACTGGCTAATTTTCTCGTCTACAGCTGAGGCACCAGACGCACGTTGAGGACAACTAACTTCCGGCTGTCTAAACATACACGCAATGCAATTATTTTATCGTGCGCAGACACTGTTAATTTTCATTTCCGCGAGCATGAAACCAAACTGTATGCTCAAAAGAAAGTAAAAAAAAATATTTTTTTATTAAATAAATAAGGTCTTGTTTGATTTAAATCAGATTTTTTTTACTTAAACCACTGTGTCTAGAAAATAGACACTCTTTATCACTGCATGTATTTTTAAATATAAAATTTATTGATTGATTGATTTAGATATGTTAGATTGATGGAAGAAATAATTACCGTAAATTAAAAGAGCAGTTAAAATAACAACTTTTTTATAATGTAAGCCCCACCAACTAGAACGGAAACAGCTGGTTCTTTACAATAGAGCTGTTAAGGGCTGGTTTTCCCAGTTTTCCCACCAAACAAATGTTGACAGAAAACTATGCAAAACTCTGGACAGCTACCGCCATCTATGATTGACGGCAGCAACCAGACAACCAATCTGGTTGCCGCCGTTGCTCATAGATGGCGGCAACCTTTCCAGCTATCATAGAAGAATGGACAGTTGGGTGAGTTGGTGGGATTTCATCGTTGGAAACAGCGCGCAAAACAGACAAGGTCGGAGAAGAAACACACGGGACGAGCGTACAGCTTCACTGGTCTTCCTTCTTCACCAGAGTGGAAAGGCTGAAAGTTTTTTAGTTAGCCATAAAAATTGATTTGCTTTTTCTTTAATGTTCTGATTTGCTTGCAATAAGACATTGCTTTTCTAGTTTGTGTGCCTTTTTTTCGTGTTCTGATTTGCTTGAAATATGATGTTACAAAATGACGAACAAAGTGGAAGGTAGAAAGAAGGCTCACTGTTCCAATTCGCTCAGAAGAGCGCTTTTTGCTCGTGCTTAGATGCAAACCTTTCTCGCATAATAATTCTTTGATTTCAGTACAAGTCAAAGGCACACAGAAAGACTGAAATGACAGAGAAACAGTAAATAAAAACTAAGAACTGTTTGCGATAAAGGTTCAATTTAGATCACCATAGTAAAACTGGTCGGATTTAATTCACGATTTAAATCATCTCGATTTCTATTCTCCACTCCGACTCGGGATAAAATTTCTGTGGCACTTTAGAAGAAGGAAAAAGTGCAGGTGCACGGCTTTCATTGATGCTCAAGGTGTGGGTGTGCGTGGGCACCCATAGCCTTGACTTTATTGCCAAAGAAACTTCCCCCAAGTGTGGCAAGGCAGCCACGCTGGGTCCTTGCCCGGTGATCGGCGCCAAAAGCACACTTCTCTTGAAGTGCGCAGTGCATGGTATTGCCTTTTTAGCCGCTAGCTTTATAAGTATAGACCAATATTTTCTACATGTGCAGTCTTTTCTCAAATTTGTGCCGGCATTTTATGAGCATGAACTCTATCTGTGTGCGATGTAGGCCATATCGACATCTACCAAACATAGACTTCCTTTTTTTACAGACGGGATTACTCAAAAAAGATTGGGCCTTTCTCATCTAAAACCGACATCTTCCGAAACTGTTTTTTTTATTTTTCTGTGCAGCACTCGGCACTTGAATGAGGTAACAGAAAATATAGTCTCCCAAAAAGAAAACTTGCAATACTTTCTATCCTCGCTCAGTCTCGCATACTACATGTTCTATTTTGTGTATTTTTGATTTAGTGCACAAGCGTGCATTGTAGTCAGGGTTCCGTGTTTTTGGATGAATCCGAAAAACTGAAAAACACCAGTCAATGCAATTTTGATCAATTCAGATTTATCCAACAAACCCCAAATTTTCATGTGCCAATGCCCCTCCCAAGATAAATATCTCAGTAAAGACGATATTTTACAATGAAGTTTCATCAGAGCACAGGGTCAATGGTCCTGGGAAAATGCCACCACAGTTATCTTTCAAATCTCAGATCATTGCCCAAAGCCCTGGTCTTGCCGCTTATCTCGTCAAGGTTCAGGACAGCATGTCACCGTAGCATTCGTGTCACGACAAAAGCCTCTGTATTGGTTTCCATTTTGGGCCACACTATTTGTGTTTTAAGAGGAAGAAGAGGTTGTGTTTTTGTAACAGTGAAAGCTATGGACCGTAGAGATTGCATAAAATGAGGAAGAGGGACAGTTGAAACTTCTCTATTACATCCTTAACCACTCCACCTCGCACGGCAGCAGGGTAGGACTGATGGATTAGGATGGGGTGAATGCATGCTTCCCAGCGACTGCCTCCAGCAGTTTATTGAGCTCAAGGTATCGACGTTTGTTGAAGCCACACATGTGTGCAACCTTTGCAGGGGGGCAAATTAGCATTGCCAATGGCAATGGCACCAGCTCCAAATCTAGCTGAAGAAATATTAATTGACATAAGCATGCTTTATTTTTCTTTATCTAGCATACGTTTACACTCGGATATTCTTCATTTATTTTTCATGGGAAACACTGCGAAATTAAGCTCCGAATTTCTGAGATTTTGCTATCAAACAAAAAAAGATTTTCGATTTAGGTTCTTCTAATTTTTAATGATATGACTGGTATTGATAAAAGCAACTACATAAAATTACCTAACTACATTTCAAATCGTGTGGATCATACCAGAAAAATAAGGGAAATTTCTTGTTGAACAGATTATAAGAAGTTTTCATTTTTTCCACGCACATTCGCTCAGTGGAACCTGTTACCAAAGTATTTTTTTTTGTGACGACGTGGGACCATTTATCTCAGGAAATGGTCTTGATTTTTAATGTTGTTTATGTTCAATGTTTATGTATTCTCTTTATTGACAGCCCAGGTTGTATTCAAGTGTTCTGTTTTTATTTTATTGAGCGTATTAATCCATGTGCTGTACCTGCTATAATGCCGAAGTTTTTCGCGCTGTAGGTTTTTTTTCTGTAAATAAAATAAATTTTAAAAAAAATAAACTCTGAATTTAAATATAAAAAAGCAAAGGAGTGGACGAGGAAACCGCCAGTTTTCTCGTCTGCTCCTTTAAATTTGTGCTTTGCAAAAAGGACTCTGCTGTACACATTCACAAACTATGTTCCTCCAGTCTCGTTGGAATGGAATCGATAATACTCATTCTCTCTGTGCACAGAACCTGCTGCGGTGCGGCTGGTCGCCGGACGGAGCCCAGGTGGTGGCGGGGTCGGCGGACCGGTGCGTGCACGTGTGGGACACGACGAGCCGACGCCTGCTCTACAAGCTGCCCGGGCACAAGGGCTCCGTCAACGAGGTCTCCTTCCATCCAAAGGAGCCCATCGGTATGTGTGGCCAAAAGGTGTCGCAATCGGACCAAAAATGAGCAAGATGGTGCTCGTGTACCATGTTTTTAGGGCCTTCACGGGCCGTTTTCTAAGGTATCGATGCGACCACCAAATTTAATCAAAGTCGTGGGTCACTGAAGGCACACACTCAATGTTAAAAATAGAAAAAAATATGAAACCCATTTTTTGTGGCTTCTAAAAAGCTGCAAATACGTTGATTGAAAAAAAAAGTTCCACAGACAACCGGAAGCATTCTGTGCGTTCGTCGTTTCGCGTATCGTGGGACTCGCGGGGACTGCGATGGCAGCGGATGACCGGCGTGGGACCTTTATTTCAAAACTGTTGTTCGCGGTACCGGCGAATTCTGTCTACCTTTAAAAGAGAAATTTGGGACTGATCAAAAGAATTGGTATTCATCCCGTACGACACGCCCGACCACCAAGCCGATTTGCACGAAGACGTCGCCGAGCCGTCGCTCCCTGCTCATGGCTGAAGACATCGCTCGCGCAAACGTCAAGCACGACGTGTCTACTTCGAGTTGAATATGCTCGCGTACGATTTCTTTACTAGGTGTGAATGTCGCCAATGCGTGGTGGTTCCCGACTTCGGCCCGGGAGTGCTTTAGCTAGAGGAAAATCGGCAGCAAACTTTCGAACTTACAGTTTACTGATCATTACTAAGGAGAGAGATCCACCAGTAAATAGGTGCCCCGGTAGCTCAGTGGGAAAGACATCCGCTTCATACTCGGTAGGACCAAGATCGATCCCCCGTGAAACTTTTTTTTTTTTTTTTTCAAACATTTTTTGATGTTTACATATCTTTTTTTTTTTTTTTTTTTACAATTATCACTGAAGAAACAAACAAAAAAAATAACAAATAAATGTTGTGGACGACACTTCGCTGAGTTAAATGGTATGGGATTTCCTTTTTGACACTTGTGAACTCAATGTAATCACTTTCCACAAAATGCAAGGAGCATATAAATCAGGAAGCCTGTGCTTTCCGAGGTGCCCGTAAATGTTGAATTGCAGCCAGCCATTGGTCCCGATCCCTTGATCTTTCGGAAACTCTGTCGCACAATGCCCCTTTTTTTTTTCGGATGCAGGACATGTGAGCCAGCTCTTCACGCATCATCTTGGGTGTATTCTTTTCGGAGCCGATCATGGAAATTCTCCACGGGCACTCACTACTCATCTCCAACTCCTCAATGTACAAAACAACTCATCTTGGAGTTCAGAACAACGAGCGGAACAATCATAACTGCAAAAGCGAACAGTTCCCGTACGCCGCATGTCGTGTCGTCTGCTACGGAGAGGAGAAAAAAAAAAGAATGCACGGTCGGGTGTAGCCACGTGACTTCCGCCACTCACTCTCTTCTCTCCACTTCTCCGACCTCCGGATCCAAGCTGATCCGCTAGAAGAACCACTGGCTCTGCATTTCACCAACCATAAAGCAGTAATAATGAAGTCGAAACGCAACCCAGAACTCAGCACTACCTATGAGCAATAAAAAAATCAGCACTACCTATGAACAAAATCAGTATCATCAGCTCCACAAGAGCTTCGCCCCAATCAACATCATTCACAACATGGAGATGCGGTCATTTTTAATGTACAAGTCGCCTTTTTTTCTTTTTTTTTTACTAGATTTCTGTAGCTGTCTAGGTAGGACCTTTAGGATATAAAGTATATCCTATAAAATAAAAAAAATAATATAAGAACAGAAAGTAACCGGTTCCAGAGGGTAACCGGCAGAAGAAAGCACTACTAAAAGCTGCAGTCCTACATCTGTGCTCTCAAGCCTTATGAACGGGATCCACTCGGGCGGATTGATAATGTGGTGAAAAAAGATAGGTGTCACATGGGATTCCGGTTTGGGAATGATATATGCTGTGAAAGAACTTCAAGCGGAGCTTTGCTCTACGGTATTCGAGTGTATCCCATTGTAGAGTCTGTTTAGCACGTGACACACTAAAATCTCTATCTTTTAATGACCTTCCCAATACATAGCGGGCCGCAAAGGTTTGCACCCTTTCTAGTTTATCTCTATCCGTTATAGTCGGCGGGTGCCACACAGTGCAGGCATATTCTAAAGTAGAAAACACATTTGTTTTTTACAAGAGCTCCCTGGTGGCTCGAGGAAAGTTACGCGTATTTCTGCGAAGAAAACCCGAAGATTTTGAAGCCTTTGCTAGACTATAATCGACACGTCGACTCCAATGTAATGAAGACGTAAAAAAACGCCTAAATAGTTAAACTCAGAAACCACTTTTAGATTAATATTGTTTATTTCATAACGGAATTCATTCACTGTTTTTCTTGGCAAACGTACCCACACACGTCAGGGTCTTTCTCAAGCAACTTACGAAGTCTGTCCCTCAGAGCACCATCAACTTTTCTGTCACAGAGTCCAAGATTTCAAACTGTGTCTCTAGATCAAGTACCACTGTTTCCAGCCTTGCTATCGCATTTGGAATAAATCGGTACTTCTCGATACTGCAGAGCCCACTCGCGAGATCATCGCTGGTTACGGTTTCTTGCAGCAACTTCGTGGCAGCATTTCTCAGCTTTAATTTACCTCCTAAGTGCCGTGCTGTGAGAACTACGGCAAGGCTGCTTTTATTTGCCGCCTTGCCGCGGTTTTTCAAGTAGCAATTCGCTGCTCTTAGAAATGTTGGAGTGTTGGCGAGAGTAGGCCACGCTCGCTGTTTGCTGATGCAAAAGTATAATCCACGTGTGAAACGCACATTGTGCAGGGGCGTGTCAGTGAAATGACGGTACATTTAATGAAAAACCGGGACAAAATCTGTAAATTTTCGGGAGACTCAGCATAGTTTTGGGACAATTCAGAAGAACAAAATTAATAAAAATTGGAGCAAACTCACTCGATAGATGCTTTCTGGTAGCTGACACTAGTATTGGGACATTTCTCAAAATCGAGACATGTTTCGGAAATCCCAGCTCTAGTCATATGATTGTCCCATTATACCTCAAGCTCTTTTCATTCAATTCAGGTGTCACATAACATCTTGCCACTGTTTTTATTGTTCCAAGGCTTCCCTTCAAATGTGCGAGATTCCTAGGTTAAAATTGTGGAAGAAGTCAATTTTCACATTGAGTCTTTCAAGCAGTTGCTAATTATACTGTAACACCAGACAACACTACCTTTAAACGATGGAGACCTTCTTGCATTAGGTGATTCCAAATTGACCAGTATGAAACTGCCTCAACTAGGATGTACGTCTGTTAGGGTGACTCGTAACAAGAGAGAAGTCAGAAAGGCTGATTTTGTAGTAATTCCAAAATTAAAGTGCTTATGATGGTGATTAACTTTATTTTCATAATGGTGGTGCCATGGCCTTATAACATATTTTTTTGCTTTATAAAGAAAATTTGTAAATCGTAACTTGTATGTCTCAATTCAGCAGTGCATTTACTGATGGAATGACCTTCAAGTTTAATGGCTGCTCAAGCACTGTGGCATAACCATTAACCTATATTTTCAGTTGGGGAGACAGTACCGGTCTTTTGCCATGCAATACTGAACTGTGCATTGTTGAACACTCAGGCTCCTCCATAAAATAGCACTAAGAGAAGATAGCAGGATGAGGTTTCCGCGTGCTAAAATTGCCCCAAACAAAAGTCAAGTGATTTCTTGAAAACTCGGATAAAAGGCAGTTGTCGCCAGTCGCTACCAGACATAAGTCCAAGTGTGCTAGCCATGGAGGACGCTTCCTCACATGTTCGAACCTTCATAAGCTCTGATGTGGCATTTTTTGTTTTATTGTAGTACAATTATTATTTAAAGGAGCACTCAAGTGGATGCTGAGATCACCCATTTATGGTGATAACTCAATCTACAACCTCTAAGCATCCTAGAAAATCCGAAATCACACTCGTAGGCGGCCGATTTCCCTATCCAAAGTCCCCGCTCTCTGCACCTTGGAGCAGACACGAGAGGGCAGCGACAGACGGCGTTTTCGAATGAAATTGCAAGGTTATGTCTCCTACTCCCAAAGATTTTTTGTTTTTGTCAAAATAAAATAGACCCTTTCCGGAATTCAGACTGGCAACTTTGATCACTATCATCATCATCTGAAAAATGGCATATGTGCTATACTATTGGCGGCCTTCTGTTTAGTGATGAAGGAAGAAGTTGAAGATGCTCCTAAGGAGATGATTCAACAATTATATATTCTAGATGTTAGCGTGCCGTGAAGCAGGAATTGGATGCAAGAGCTGCATAAGTGTCCATTTCTAACTCGGACCCACTCAATCCGTTAGTCGCACACAGCCGGCTTCAAAGCCCTTGATGTATAGAATTTTATCAAGGCATCTATGTGGGCTGGCGCTTCTTTTGGAACACGGTGTAAGATAATACTGTTTAGGTGAGGACACGGCGGGACTAAACGCGCGGGGCGAGGAATCAGATAGTGTTCGTTCGACGGGCATCCGAAAGGCTGCATTATTCCGCAGCCACCGTGCCTGCGGCTGACAGTGCCGCCGGCGGCCAAACGGCGAAACTGTGTGAAAACGAAAAAAATTATCTCGTTGCCATGACACCCCGGTACACCGTGGTCTTTCTGCATGTGCAACAACCTCGCTGGAGCTCTTCGCGTGTGGAGCATGAGGTGGCACAAGCCATCTTGTGCACTGCTGCCTGCCTCCTGCATGATTAAGAGTCGCCTTGCACGTTTTTGCTTCGTTTCGAATTGCGACGAAGACATTTGGAATCCAGTCGCCGTACGCTACATGGAATGAAGATTGAAGAAGCCGTGTGCGGCGTTTGACCACGCGTTTGACGCGGTGACAATGGGCCGGAGATGCTTTGTCCAGAACTGCAACTCAGGTCACCCTAGTTGCAAAGAAAGGGTCAGTTTGTTCAAGGTCCCATCCGACCCCACACGTCTGGAAGCGTGGGCTCAAGCAACTCCTTGCAAGCACCGTCCGCTTGGCCCTAAAGATTTTGTTTGCATCAAGCATTTCACCAACGACAT